GATGGAGTTTTACTCAGCAGTAAAGAAAGATGGAATCGTGAAATTTGCAGGTAAATGGATGGAGCTAGAAACTTTTATACTAAGTGAAGTAACACAGACTCAAAATATAATTGACATATGTTCTCCCTCATATGTGGATCCTAGGATCAGACTCTGATAAATAAGTATGCAAACAGACATAACTGCAGGAACCAGGACAAGGGTAAGGAAACAGTGAGCTAAAGGAAAAGAAATAACCTGAAGGAGAAGAATAGTAGGCAACAGACCTTAAGAAGGGAGATATGGATAAAAACAGGGTTAGTTTATGGGAGGGGGGAGAGAAGGGTATACAAGGAACCCAGGGGATAAGGGGAAAGAGGGAGCTCAAGAGAGGTAGGACCATAGGGAGAAGTAGGGAAATGGAGGCACCTTAAGTGGGAAAACTATGGTGGAGGGATGAGACAATGTGAGAGATAAATAATGCCTAGTTTTGAAAACCAGAGGGAACCATATTACTCCTACAACCTACTGACAAATTATACATAGCAGATCAAGAAATATGTGTCTAGGTAAGGTTTATCTGAGAACAACTGGTCTTTGCCCAAGATTTATCTACATGACACACAATAATTAAAAGTACCAGACTGGTGACTAACCTTCTTGGGTGTTTAACAAACATACTTTGAGGCTTATACTAATTTGGTCAGAGGGACATAAAGGACAGTTTTTGCTCTTTGACCTCCTAGGTCGACTAGTTCCAGGGGACTATGAGCATCTCTCAAAATGTCCTGTAATTGTGGTGGGTCACCTGTCCTCTTGATCAAGGAGGCTGAGGAGACCCCACCAGATGGACTTGAACCAGTGCCCAGTCTACAAAAGGAGGGTCAACACAGGGATCATTTCCTCCATGCTTCCAAGTGAAGCCAACATGGTCGAGCAGGACCTTTGACTTATCTTCACATAGATGGAACTGGTAAAAGGAGCCAGGGGCTCCTCATAAGCCTATGGGACCCCTGAGGAGAAGATCCTCAAGCAACCTTAAGAGTAAAAATAAATTGGTTTATCTGGGCCAACTGTATGGCCTTAAACATCCAAAAGGAAAATATAACCAAAGATTAAAGGGGTCAATATAATTTCTTAAGAGTCCATATATAGCTAAAGGCTACATAACAGGCAACAATGCCAGATAGGAGATACTTTCTTTTGAGTTGTTGGTCAGTGTGACCAATGGGACTCCCAAATACTAACCCAGCACAGAACTGGGAAAATGAACAGCAGACCCTAATCTTATCCAAAGGAGTATTGACAATTCATGGCTGATAGAAGAGAAACAGCTGACCCTCCTAAAACAAAGACCTCTAGATAGGCTGACTAGATTCACCAGAAGGGCAAGTAGTAGGGAATGGCTGGGTGTGCTGACAACACAGCAGACAGTAGCAGGGATATTAGAGTATAAAGGATCTAGTGGTGGGAGGGAGGCTATGGGAGGGTGCCATCTGGGAAGTGGGTGTACAGTCAAATAAGATGGTTTGGGATGTTCTGTGTGATGATAACACACCTTAAAAATCAACAAATTTTTTAAAATGTATTATATTTAAGGAGGAAGCATGGAAAATTATGCCATGTTAATTAGTAGAGGTGATAAACATTACCAATGAAATTTACCCAATTACCTTATAGACATGCACAGGC